GTTTGAGATGGCTAGGTTGGCACAGGATAGAATGGCGTTTAGAGCTCTTGTACAGAGGGTCGCTATGAGTCACAAGCGACTCGATGGCACAGAACAATAACAACAACAACAATGTATGAAGACAGGTTCTGACTCTACCTCTACCACTACTGCAACACAACAAGTAAAATGATAGCTGGGATTGTCTTTGTCTTCACAACAATCTGAGGATGACAGAGAATGTGAACTAGGTAGACAGTCATATAATGCCATATTACCCCTAATTTGCTAATTGTTGAAGCTGAGCTGGGGATGGGTATACACATGAAGGGATCATTATAATACATACCCTTTGTACTTATAGAAATGCTTGAAATGTTTCATAATTAAAAGGGTTGTTTTTTTAAAAAAAAAGACTTGACTATTATAAACATAGAAACAAAATGGTTCTTTCCCAAAGTGTTTTCTAAATAAGTTAATATCTGCTTTTAGATTTTTACACTAACTCTGCACCAGCTATATGAAGCTAATATAAAATTACTCTTAAAACAAAGTAGAAATTGACTCAGAAGCTTTGCAGGATAAGACTTAATAGAAGACATGGAATGCTTAATTAAGATATATAGAAAGAGCTAAGTCTCTTGAATTTTAGTCTACTGGGAGTACTATTTTCTCAGTGCAACATAGCATATCTAGAATGTAGTTTCTCACTATTGCCTTGTTTTTATGAAGTCAGGTAATATAAAAACAAGTAAAGTGAAGGCTAGCTCTCTATGGATAAGATTTAACTGAGTTCAGCCTGCATTATAATTCCAATATACACATTTCTGAATGTAAACTGAGGCCTTAGATAATCACCATGTGGTGTTCTGTGAAATTACAGTTGGGCTCAGGAGCTAAGGTAAAGATTAAAAAGGTTTTCCTCAAATGAAAACAGTATTGACTCTTCAACTGCTGGAGTCTCACGTATGTCAAGACTAGACTGTCCAACCAGCAGTGTTCTTCCTTTCTCAAAAGAAAGGAGTTTGCTGAAAATGCAGCTATTCAAGAAATCAGAACCAGCTCTTCTTCTAGACCAACTTCTTATATAACTTTCCTAGCTGAGGCAGAACAGATTTCTAAGGTCCTGAGAAGGAATTTAAGGAACAGCTACTCTCACCAAGAACTGGCTTTACAACCTTCCAACTTTGGGCCTCATGTCCAGGAAGGAAGGAAAACATTTGGCCTGTTAATGGACCTTTTACCGAATTCCTGCTGGATGGAGGTTCAGAGTATGATGAGCAAGCAATGGATTTGCAATTGCAACAAACGTTTTAAAAAAAAAGGGTGGAAGAAAAATCAAATAAAGCTAAACACCACAAAATGGCCACTGTAGCCCTCACAGGGACATGTGGGAATTTGGGGCTCTGTCATCTCTTTTTCACATTATATGCAATATCTTTTAATATTAAAATGTAATGAGTGTTTCTGATAAAAAATATATTACAATTTGAAGCATCATATTATTATTACCACTATGGAATTAATAAGAAAATATTCAAGACAAGGAAGCTCTGGTGGCCTAGTGACAAGAAGCTGCACTGCAATCCCAGAGGTACAAGGTTTGAATCCACCAGATGCTCTGCTGGAGGAGGGGCAGTCTCCTCCTGTACCAGTCAGATCGCATTTGATGGTACACACAAACAAAAGAATAATAAAATAAAATAAAGTAAAATAAAAATATTCAAGACAAAATATATTTCTTTTTCTAAATTAAGCTTACAACATTGTCACCAAAATTCCTATACAGTACAGTCAAACCCCTAAAGTAAAAAATAAATATTTCTGTAAGCTATATGAAGATGATAACATAAGATATTTGATATCTCTGGTTTTGAAAGAGGCAGTAAAATACAGGTTAGTTTTTAAAATAAGTATACTGAGTCATTTTACTTATAAAGTTTAAAAATACATGAAAATACAGAATACTGAAATGGTGCATATAATGGTTAATAAAGGCAGGTGACTTTTAATCCGCGGCCTTCAGGCATGGTTCTAATTGTTTTTATTCAAACATTCTTCTAGGTCATATAGTCCCGGTCTGTCCACTTGCTGTACAGAGGTAACTTGTGGTTGCTGTGAAGCTGAACACTGTGACACTGATGTGTCAAATGGGTTAATGGTTACCCATGGTGGACAGTGTTTGGTGGAGCTCCCCAGTTAAAACAAGCTTGGAAGCAGGAGTGGCATCCACTTCCGAAATAGCTTGCCTCTGGAAACCTTATGAACCTGGAGAGAGGATGAAAGTCACACAAGTGTTGATGACTTTTAGTCAAAGGGTTGCTATGAGTTGCCAATGACTCGATGACACTTAACAACAACAACAACTTCCAAACTTTAGATTTTCCTTAAAACAAACACAAACTCAAACAGCCAATCAGATGGCATCGAGAGGAGAGTAAAAAAAAACAAAACAGAGACTTACTTGAGACAGCAGGGCCAGCTCCTGGTGACAAGAGACAGCGTTCCGGTTGGCCTCCATAAAGTACCGCTGTGTGCGCCTGCGTTCTCGGTCCAGCTTCTTCTCTAAGACCAGCTGGGATGTAGACAAGCTGTCTAAATATTTCATCATGATATCTGATATCATGGAACTGACCTCGACAATATCTGGGCGGGCTTCCGCATCTGGAGTGAGGCACCTAAGGGAGAGGAGATCATTACAGCATCGTCTCTGGTCAGCGTTGGATGATGGGACCAGGGTGTGTTTCTACCATAGTGTTCATTCCCAACAGACCCTGTAGAAAGATGGACACCAAGCAAAGCTGCCAATCGGAGATCCTGGAATGTTCTAGAAGGAGGTGGAGACAGCAGTCTTTGTCCCCACTTGTGCTCCTAGACAGAGGTCATGAGCTGCACAAGAGTTTGATCCTTGGGTGTGACGGCAGGGTAAAGGGGACACCATTCTCCCATTTGACTCCAAGAGAAAGCTGTTCAGTCTCCTCCTAAGTGATTTACAGCCTTAGAAACCCAGTGGAGGGGCAGCAATGAGTTGGTTCCGACTTGACACCAATGAGTCAGTCAGTTTCCTATGCACTTTGATGTTTCTGAGATCACTGCCAACCCGCAACTCGGTAAAGCATGGAAAATTCCTAAACTAAGTGTATCACCGTCAAGTTAGTCCACTCACAACAACCCTATGTGACAGAGCAGAAGTGTCCCACAGGATTTCTGAAGTTGCAAATCTTATGGAAGCACGTCACACACTGCCTCTTTGTCCTCCACCAGAACAGCTGGTCGGTTCAAAACTTCAATTAATCTTTTGGGAAATGCCTTAACAACAGCAACACCCAATCTCCTTGTGAAATGCGAGGGATATCCAAAACATAAGCCCCAATGGATCATTCTTGATGTGATGAAAGGAAGTAGGGGTATGTTTGGAGGGGGTACAGTCTATTGGCCCTTTCCATCTATATCTTAGACATGTTATTATAATTTGCAAGAGAATATCTTACAAAAGATAAAGTCACAAAGACAAGTCACAACCCAGTCAATGAGAGGTGAAAGTGTTTGCAGTAAATTTTTAAAATAACAAATTGCTGGGTAATCTCTTCTGTGATTCTAGAGGAGGAAGAGATCAACATTATATTAAGGGAGGATTGTTTGTGTCAAATCTAAGTGACTGTTACTACTGTTGTTAGGTGCCTCTGACTCTGACCCACAGTGACCCTATGTGAGAAGCACTGCTCAACTCTACACCATTCTCTTAGTCCTGCTGGGCTTAAATCCATCGTTGTGATTATTCATAGAAAGCTTTGATTTGATGTCTCGGGGGCTGTTTACTAAGATCACTGATACGTTCCAAAATGACGGCTTAGTGGTAGTTGTGTTGCCAACACAAAGGCACAAGTTCAAGTTCACGGTGGTATATAACAAGCATCCACTGTACAATTTTGTCTATTTTTTGAAATGCAAATTCTTCATCACAGTTATATGTGCTTCTCAATAAAAAGCCACTATTTAAGGGGGGGAAATCTAGCACTCACAATTTGCATTTAATTTACCAGTTCATATATTAAGAATGTACCTCATGTTGAGGTCTCTGACTTGACAACAATGAGTGACTGAATGTCTCCAGGCAATGCTTAAGGATCCTTAGGCAACAAGTATTCATTCTTCACAACAGAAATAAAAATAGGACTCTTGCTTGATAATTTGTTAATAATTCTTCCTTATTGAATTATTAGCCATGAGTGAAATACACATGCATCTTGAATAGGTATGAAGATATTACTTAGAATTTTATTTATTTTTTTTTATTCTTGTAAGATAAGAGGGACTGGAATTTCATTATGGTTATGTCAGGCATTTAAACATCTGCTGAATTAATATTTCACAAAGTTCACTCTATGCATTTATTACACACAGAATAATGCCAGAGATGTTGGCAAAACCTACATAACTTTTCAGGACCTGGGGCAAAATGTGCTATGCAGATGGCCAAATCTTGCTAGCTGAAAAAGGAGGAAGATGAGGATCTGAAGATGAAGCTGTAAGCTGTGGCTCCAAGCCCACAGCACATGTGCCTTGTCCCATCAGACTTCCCTCCTAAAACCCAGGTCCAAATAATAAGGATTTCATGACCTCCTCTGTTGGAGACTAAACCCCAAGCACAAGATCCATTCGTGCCAGGGGTCTGTGCGCCTGCCCCGGTCACAGAACTGGGAGCTGGTCCTGTGCGGCTGTGACATATTCGTATTTTTTTTTTTACTTTTGTTAGTGATCACAAAAGAAACCAAGCTGTTTGAGTTCATCTTCTAATTAAATCAGTTCTTTGACTTTTCCCATTTAATTAACAAAAGACGTTGAAGCTGCTCTCAATGCACGTCTGACTTAATGCTGGTTCTAACAGTGCTTGCAAGCAAAAATGCAAAAATCCCATCAGGTAAGCCATTCATGAGTGCAGACGCTTTAAACTCAGACTGCAGATATTTAAATCTATTAAAGGTAAATTGGCTCAAGTCATTAGATTAGCAGGATATTTTTATATATGTATATTTGTGTGTATATATATAATATTTGTTGTTGTTGTTGTTGTTGTTGTTGTTATGTGCCGTCGAGTCGTTTTCGACTCATAGCGACCCTATATAATATATATACACACACACAACATGCCTCTGGACACTTTATGATTTTGATAAATGTCAATAGTTATAGAAAGGCTTTTAGGCATTTTGTTCATAGGGTCACTATGAGTCGTGCTTAACTCGATGGCAATCAACTAGATAGACAGATAGATATAGAGATAGAGATATCTCTAACTCAAAAGGCAATATAAGGTTGTTTGGCAAATGATGTAACTAGACATGGTGAAATCCTTCTCAGTGGACCTGCCTTGTTATCCTGGGTCTCAAGACTTCTGCCTTTGATAAGGTGAAGTCCTATGACTTTTCTATCACTCACTTTTAGTGGAAGATACTGGTGTTTTCCTTCTCTGACAGGTTTCCAAGATACATAGGTTTCTGATTTTTCAGATTTTTCTCTCTATATATAACA